GTCTAAGCAAAGACTAAAATGGATTCTTAATGGTGAAAACACACAAAAAAAAATGTTTTTCAAGGGTTCTTTAGTAAAGAAACTGGTTCAATATAGAACTATGACCACTCAAAGAACCCTTTGCATGATTAAATGGCTCGTTATGTTGTGAAAGCGTTTTTCAGCTTGATGAAAAATGTGCTGTAGATGGTTCTATGTAGAACCTTTTTGAAAAGGATTCTAAACAGCACCAAAAAGGGTTTATATATTGTTACAAGCTTGACATCGAAACTTTTTAGAGCAAATAGGCTTAGGTCATGTTTGAGAAACAAACTCATTGAATTTGGGTGTTTTATTCACGTTATAAGTGGCCCAAGATGGATTATGGTGTAGATTTGTTTCAAACCTATAAAACAAGAGCTGGGACCAGTTAAATTAGACCAGGATAGTATGAAAACAGCAGCAGTCAGATCAGAGGCCTTTTTTTTTACCTCATATGAGGTAATGCCTCCTACAAGTGGGGTTACACAAATTGTTTTCCACTTGTTTTTTGTTAACCCATATTGAATTAGCTATAAATACCATGAATTAGTTTAAATGATTGAATCCACAAGCTGGGGAAGGAGGTGGGTTTGTTGTTTTATCTTAATTGACTACAGTTTTGTCCAGTACAGTTTTCCAGTTGTATGCAAACAATTCATAATACAGATTGTTTTGGATTTTGAATGCATTTATTTCAGGATTTATATATATTATTTATATGGCTGGCTGCTCAAGGCACAAATAGGCAAAATGAGTAATAATAAAAATCACTGTTTATATATTGAGAGATTGACTTACTTTCAACTATATTAAATCTTGGTAAAATGCCACTACAGAGGTGTTTGTCACTAGTTTAAATGAAATAATAAAGTCATTACATCGTTTTCTAAAACTAAAGCTGTCCATCTTATCCAGTCTCTGTCCTGGATTTGCCACGGTCATGACATTAACCCGGCATCCTCCATCTTTTATGTTTTGATCGGACGAAGACAGTGAATTTTGATTATTGCTTCTTATCATCATGGTATAGAATGGTTCTCAACCCTGGTCTTGCAGTACCCCCTGCTCTCATGCATCAATTTAAACTCACGAAGGGCTGGTTAACTGGCTGATTAGTCCAATTAGTTGCTGGAAAAACACTGCAAGGCAAGGGGCACTCCAGGACAAGAGATGGGACCCACTGCTGTAGAAAACCCAGAGGATAGCAGTCTTTATACTACTTTCTATTTTATTCACATTATTTAATGTTTAATAGTCTCTGCAGGCTTCAGCTTTGGATAGTGATGCACATTCCAGCCAGAAGACTCAAATGACCAGTTACTGGGTACGTAAGTTATCCACTGGCACACTGCTTGCATGGAGAATCCTCCTGATTTGAAAACAGGGCACGGTGTGCCTGTCTCACTTTGAACAAAAACACCACCAGTGAGAACTCTGAACTTGGCTTACTTCAATCTGCCCTTTTTGGGAAATTCTAGAAGATAAATCCACCTGTCATTATAACTTACCAGATGAAAATATATTATGTTTATATATTATTGTACACACAGTAGCATTTAAACACTGTCAGAATGCTTCAGGAGACTATGTAGAAACTTCCTCCTGCTCACAGCAGTGAATGGGAATGTCAAAAGCATGCTTTGGCTATACTGACATCTACTGGATTTACATCACGCCATGCATTATTATAAGCTCTCAGAAGATTGAAGCCAGTTTTATGGCCCTTTTAGGAACGAATAGTAGCTAGAGTTAGAGTCGGCACAATACCACCTCTCCCTTTTCGATACTGATGCTAAAACCTTGACTACTGGCTGATAACAATCTGATATTTTATTTTCTTACAACAATTCAGCTTTAAAAGTCTGTTTTTAACTAAAGCATGGCGATTTGAAAGCACCATGCTCAAACGTCTCTACCAACCTACAGGAAGAAGTACATCATGAACAATATGACATATAAAATTAGCATTTTTTAAGGTTGTCATTATGTCATTCATTCTGACTGTAGGAAAGATGTGTGCATGCAGTTGTAGACTAATATAATATGGCCCATAATACACTAATCAGGCACAACATTCTGACCACCTCCTTGTTTCTGCGCTCATTGTCCATTTTATCAGCTCCACTTACTATATAGGTGCACTTTGTAGTTCTACAGTTACAGACTGTAGTCCATCTGTTTCTCTGCATACTTTGTTGGCCCCCTTTTACCCTGTTCTTCAGTGGTCAGGACCCCCATGGACCCTCACAGAGCAGGTACTATTTGGGTGGTGGATCATTCTCAGCACTGCAGTGACACTGACGTGGTGGTGGTGTGTTAGTGTGTGTTGCGCTGGTCTGAGTGGATCAGACACAGCAGTGCTGCTGGAGTTTTTAAACACCTCAGTGTCACTGCTGGACTGAGAATAGTCCACCAACCAAAAATATCCAGTCAACAGCGTCCTGTGGGCAGCGTCCTGTGACCACCGATGAAGGACTAGAGGATGACCAACACAAACTGCAGCAGCAGATGAGCTATCGTCTCTGACTTTACATCTACAAGGTGGACTGACAAGGTAGGAGTGTCTAATAGAGTGGACAGTGAGTGGACACAGTGTTTAAAAACTCCAGCAGCACTGCTGTGTCTGATCCACTCGCACCAGCACGTCAGTGTTACTGCAGTGCTGAGAATGATCCACCACCAAAATAGTACCTGCTCTGTGAGGGTCCATGGGGTCCTGACCACTGAAGAACAGGGTAAAAGGGGGCTAACAAAGTATGCAGAGAAACAGATGGACTACAGTCTGTAACTGTAGAACTACAAAGTGCACCTATATAGTAAGTGGAGCTGATAAAATGGACAATGAGTGTAGAAACAAGGAGGTGGTCATAATGTTATGCCTGATCGGTGTATGTCTGTACTGTTGTACAAGAAATGTGACAGAAGAGTCGACTAAATTACGGTTTATTCCTTGTAGTGCAACATTACAGTAGTCAATAGTCATACATTGGAATCATAGGAGTAGAGACCAGCTCAGGAAGAAGGTGAGCAGAGTGCCTTAGCTTGTGGGGGGGGTGTTGCGTATCTCTGTCTGTGGCAGATCTCTGTCTGTCTAAAAACAGTACATTATCTAATGTGGTACATTATGCAGTGAGAGTCATCAGCCAGATCGATGGTGGTTGCTTACATATCAGCACCCTACAGCCAGAGACTGAACTGAAGTGGAACTGTTGACATTTTCAATAAAGAAATTGACTCTCTATGCACAGTATTTCGATTCACTTGGTCTGTGCTCCATAATTCTGCTGATGTAATAACAACTATTACTGTTGGCTTAACAAACTAGGAGAATGTTCTAGCAGGGGTGGAAAAAAGGCAGAAAAACCATACTTATATGCAAGTATTGCATCAAAGTCTTCATCAAAAGTGGAAATATGGAGTCAAAAATGTATCTGAAAATCTGAAAGTATCTATATTTAAACATACTCAGGGAAACACATGTAAAACAAATGTTTTACCTGTTAAATTGAATTGTCAGGACATATTGTTTGGAGATGTGTAATGCAATGATGTGTGATACAGTGTCTAACGTTCTTTGCCCAAAGGCAAATTAGCATACTTGAAGGCAATTTCCTTTTACATACATGTGAATTTGGTCAGATGTTTAATAAAAAAAATTATTAATGTATAGGAACTGAACTGACTGCCAAGAAGAAAAATTAAGAAAATCTCAAGACCTTTGAAGGTCTAAATAACAGTGTAAGGAGTGAAATGTATGTTTTCCAAGTATTTAAATTTTGATAATACGCGAGTAAAGTTCAAAACTTCCTAAATAAAACATAAGGGATTGTAATTGTCACTAAGCTCAAGTCTTTCCCACCCCGATGTACAGTGTTGATTTTATGCACACAGAAAAAAAGATGCACTTGCTCTTCTACAGGGAGATTCACTTGAAAGAGGCCCTGAATATTCTGTTGTAGCTCCCGTTAGAATGAAACAATCTGAACCAAAAAAATACGCTACATACCCTTGGCGTATGTGTAATCGATTGCATTACATGTGATGCTGGAAATGCTCTCGGTTTTCTGCCAGACACATGAAGGGGTGCGGGGGTACTATAAGTTGCAAACAGAGGTTAAACGTCGCAACGGCTGTCCGGCGCCTACTTCATCGCTCTGATGCAAGGGGCATCCTGGCTTGTTTAAAGCTCCATATGCTGAGGAGCTCATTGCATGTTGTTTCGTTCAGATTGCGTCGTTCTAGAAAGAGTTATTACAGAATATTCGAGGCCTCTTTCGAGTGAATCGCCCTTTAAAATACTCTAAAAGGCTCATTTGTTTCTTTAAAATATATCTAACATATTTACAAAAACCTCACAAATACATTTTTTTCACACATTTCTACTTATCTAAGGCAGCAGATCTCCACACCACTGTCTTCAAAGAAAATTAATTATTAAGTGGCCAAATAAGACACTATATTGGTAATAAAAAGAGAAAAAAAAAACTGAATACATGTTAATCCTTCATTTGGTTGTCTTCACATTTATGAAGTTCTCATGTTCCCCAGTGTTGTCTGAAAAGTGAAATCTTTGGTGAAAAGCACAAACTGCTCCAAGCACACACTCTTCCAAATGCACATTTTGTGCAAATGCTATTCTTGAGTTGATAAACTGCAGGTTTTGCCCAGACCTTTCTGATTCTTGTCCTCTAACCGGTGAAATGCCCCCTACTGATACAGTCAAGGGTTTATAGTTATCTCTGGCTGTTTGGTTTTTGTAGCAACTACTGAAGGTTTTCATGTTTCTCCCACTCACTTATTCACATTCTTATGTAGAACAGGGATAAACTCGTACCCCACTGTCTTGAACTTAAAGTACTTTTGTCAATAGTGATTTTTTTCCTCTGAAAACTTTTAGTCCAGGCCAGGAAAATCAGCCCATAAAGAGTATCCAGTACCTGCAGCCTGACTATCAGACAACTAGGCTGCTGGCCAAATAATCTGAAGCATCTTCATTTAATTCATCAGACAGCAACATCATCCTAAAAAATCTTGCCTTTTGGATTATCTTTAAGATTCACCCAGTCAGTTTTACTGAGATGACCTATCATTTTCTCACTAGACCTCCTCTCCAAAAGTGAACTGTAGGTCACCTGGATGTTTGGACAGGAGAACTTCAACACGGCTCTAGTGTGGTATGTCAGTCCTTAGGCCACGCTTGCTCTTTTGTAGTTCCGGTTACCAAAATGAAAACAGTGTCCAAGCCTAGACGGCCACTTCTGTAGCCACAGCAACATCTGCTTCAGCAGTGAGCAGGGGATGGAAGAGGAAGTTAAAGGCAAAGACAAAGGCATTGCGGGCATTAACCCTCCAGTCCTGCTCTATCTTGACTTGCCGTTGTGTTGGCACCAGAGGAGAGGTACAAGTTCTACAGTGAAGAGCTTTCAGCTCAAACACCGGCCACTTGCTGCCCAATCTGCCTTCTAGAACAGTGCTGAACTCCACAACACTGCCTGAACTGAGTGCCAACAGCACGCTACGGAACTCATTACTTGCCCGCAGCACTATGTCTTTGGTTGCATCGTCAGAGTCTTGCATTCCTTTCCCCTTCTTCTCCCCATGTGGCATACCCATGGTCACTTCGAACTTGTAACGGTCAAAACGTTTCACGTGGCACCGGTGATTTGCGAGCGCCTTTATTTGGCAGAGCGGGTCAGTGGGCCCTAGCTGAGCTGTGTCACAGGCTGGATACTCTTCACCATAAAGACAGCGGGCCCAGTCCGCTATAACGCCGGGCAGGAGGTTGACAACCGCTTGTGCTCCATTTTCTATTTCCGTCACACGGACATACTTGAAACGGCCCTCCCAGGTGACACGGTGTCCCTCAAGATGACTGCAGAGGATCTGCGTATGTGCCATGTTGCGCTCCCTCCATGCACGAGGGCCACAAATCTCGCCGTACTGCTGCCAGGTCAGGGTGGAGTTGTACACTTTCATGCCTTCGGAGCGGTAAACATAGAACCAGCTGAAGAGCAGCAGGGCCGAGATCCACACCAGGATCAGCTTGACGATGCTGCTGTGCCGTAGAGATCTGAGCACTGCAAGAGGAGACACGCTGAAACGAGTCCACCACCGAAGCAAAACAGGCAGCACGCACACACATACAGTTACTGCCATCTTGGCCAGTTCCAGTGCAAGGAACCACTGCACCAACTGCACCAGCAGTACAGCTGCCAGGGCCAGAGAAAGCACAGGCAGGGCGAAGAAGAAGAGGAAGTAGCCTACGGCAGTGCGCAGAAGTCCCAGCACGGTGGACTCATGCAGAAGGGTAACAGACAGTTCGCACCACGTGAAGCAAAGTAGGTAAGGCAGCAGCATGCTGTAGGTCCCATGAAATCCCTGGGCACTGCCCATGCGCCCACACAAGTACAGCAGGTAAAGGTACAGAATACAAGGCAGACCCACATGCAACACCAACCGGTCGCAAATTGGCACCTTGAACCATGACCCTCCCACCAGCCAAAACACCCAGCCCCCCACCAGCTCATTAGCGCAGGAGCAAACGGCAGAGGTGACTTGTGTGAGAAAAGCAAGTCTGGCGTGTTGCTGCGCCACCGGACGCAAGCTCAGGTAGCTGCTCACGGTGAAGAAGACCGCCACTGTGGCTAGTTCCGAGCATGGTAGCCAGGACTTATCTGCCACAGGGAACGAGAGTATGAGGAAAAGTGTGGAAACCAGAAAATAGAGGTGAGGTTCCAGATGGGTCCACGTGAAGTTCGACTCGGCTTGCTCCAGGTCCAACCCCGGCTCAAAATGAGCCAGCATGGCCGTCAGCGCTTTAAAGTTCTCCCAGGCCTTGCTGTTCTGGAAGACCCTCAACGTGCAGATGACCATAGAGAGGAAGGAGAGGTAGAAGATAATGAGGGGAATGACGAGAAGGAAGAAGTCTAGAGTCAGGTTGGAGATGATGAAGAAGAAAATGAGGGTGTTGACATGGTGAGTGGGGATGAGGGCGCTGATCCACTGCATTCCAGCACGGGAGGCCCAGTCAATCAACACTTCCTTTACCTCAGTCACTGCATGGAGGGGAAACTTCAGTATCTATGGGGACATGAAGAAACAGAGGATATAGGGTGTAAGAATCATTGTTGATCTACACATAGATGAATACAGTTTTGTGAACATTAGACACTGTAAATCTGACGGCCACTGTTTACATCTAAAGCAATATTTCTCAACACAGTTCTTAGCTGCAGGTTTTCGGTCCTTGATACAGTGCCAGGTATTCAGTTCATGATTGCTTTGTTCTTGGGATGGAGCAAAAAGTGGACTGTCAAGTGGGCCTCAGGGAATGGCCTGAGAAACACTGACCCAAAGGACAACACAAAGGCTCAAACTAACTGTTTTTCATGCTTTAGCTAGTACCTTCTGATGCAGAGGCAGCTCATCAGGGTTCTTCACAGGCTCTTCGTCATCATCGTCATCAACAGCAGCTGAGTCAAGAGCTGGTGTTGGCGAGATGCCTTGGGCATACCGCTTAGTGTTTTCAACAAACTCTTCTACTCCTACATAGTGAGTTCCTACATCGACATAAACACAAAAGATCATGTTTTAGCCTTTACGCTTCAGCCTTCCAAAAGTGCCCACATACACTGATCAGGCATAACATTCTGACCACCTCCTTGTTTCTACGCTCACAGTCATTTTATCAGCTCCACTTACTATATAGGTGCACTTTGTAGTTCTACAGTTACAGACTGTAGTCCATCTGTTTCTCTGCATACTTTGTTAGCTCCCTTTTACCCTGTTCTTCAGTGGTCAGGACCCCCATGGACCCTCACAGAGCAGGTACTATTTTGGGGGTGGATCATTCTCAGCACTGCAGTAACACTGATGTAGTGGTGGTGGTGTGTTAGTGTGTGTTGTGCTGGTCTGAGTGGATCAGACACAGCAGTACTGCTGGAGTTTTTTAAACACCTCAGTGTCACTGCTGGACTGAGAATAGTCCACCAACCAAAAATATCCAGCCAACAGCGTCCTGTGGGCAGCGTCCTGTGACCACTGATGAAGGACTGGAGGATGACCAACACAAACTGTGCAGCAGCAGATGAGCTATCGTCTCTGACTTTACATCTACAAGGTGGACTGACAAGGTAGGAGTGTCTAATAGAGTGGACAGTGAGTGGACAGTGTTTAAAAACTCCAGCAGCACTGCTGTGTCTGATCCACTCGTACCAGCACAACACACACTAACACACCACCACCACGTCAGTGTTACTGCAGTGCTGAGAATGATCCACCACCCAAATAGTACCTGCTCTGTGAGGGTCCGTGGGGGTCCTGACCACTGAAGAACAGGGTAAAAGGGGGCTAACAAAGTATGCAGAGAAACAGATGGACTACAGTCTGTAACTGTAGAACTACAAAGTGCACCTATATAGTAAGTGGAGCTGATAAAATGGACAATGAGCGTAGAAAACAAGGAGGTGGTCAGAATGTTATGCCTGATCGGTGTAGCTATCTTTCTCACCATCACTTGAGACAAGGCTCTCCAAGACCTTCCTCTGTTTCAGAGTAGAGCTTGAGAGTAGGTTGTTACAGGCACCATCTAGAGGAGCAGAAGGGGTATTACACTGTTAAGGGCTGAATTAGCAGGACAGAAGTAGTACAGCCACTCAAATAGATCTATTGATGACATAATAATATTCCTACATTGTAGTATAGGATTTTTACCTGTTTCTGTGTTGACCTGGCTTATGTTTTCCAGTAGTTCTGACGCAGTCACCTTTCTCTTCCTTTCTGGATTGAGTTTCCAGTACATGGACAGAGCTGCTTTTCTAACACTGCGCTCAAAACGTGACTCAGATGCCAGGGTACGCACATCCTCCCTGTTCTCCGCTGTGATGCCTGCCACGCAAATATACACCAATAGATTTGGCAGTCCATAGTCAGTTCTAATCAACTCTGAGCTCCATTAAAAGGAGTTCATAAGAATTTTGTATTTTTCCTACCTTTTCGTTCATGTAGGCACCACTGTAGCAGTTTTACAGCATCCCTGCGGCCATTTTTGGCCGCCTGCAGAAGCCACGTTACGGCAGTGACACTATTCACTTCTTCATCCTCCAGCTCAGACAGCCGTAGGTAATACCTGCCAATCTGCAAGAAAAGGTTCAATTCGTACATATTCTTATACTGGTAATAGCACCTGCCTCTAGGGCAGGGGTGTCAAATCGATACCACTAAAAGGGCCATATTTAAAAAATCTCAGCAAATCCATGGACCAGCTGTGTTTTCATTTCATATTTACTTAACACTTTGCCATGTCTGCAACAGCAAAATAGGCATTAAATACTTATTCAAAAATAATTCTTAATAAAAATAAATTGTTTTAGGTATTTTTTTTAAAAACTGCCTATTTACTTTAAATAGACACCACGCATATTTTCTTTTTGTGTAACTGCTGGCCCATATATTGTTGTTGGGGGTCAAAACGCACACTATGTTGCAGTGCATGCTGGGGACTGCAGTGCATCTCAGGGTGAAATGGGCTAATAAGGATAGAAATTTAAAATAATTTCATTATTTTAAATTAATTTCATGGGCCAAATAGGACTGTGTCACGGGCCTGACTTGGCCTGCAGGCCTTGTGTTTGACATATGGGCTCTAGGGTGTTTTCCCTCTGCACAAGGTATCAGAAAAGTGGAAGTGTGCTTTTCCACTGGACATCAGTCTAGTACCGAAGGTTCCGGTTTTATGATTTTTGCTAACTGCTCAAGATGGGGACCAACAGGACATAATAGTGCATGAGGGCATTTGTCATTTGTCTTTAATAACACTCGCAGATGATGTCGTTGACTTAGTGAGTTCATTACTCTTCTAGTTGGAGCACCATTACATGACCAATAAGTGCGCAAGAACATAAGCTAGAATGACATTCATGTTCATGTGCCGATTGCTCTTTTTAGAATCATTTCTTTCTAAAAGAGTAACACTAACACCGTTATCATTTATGCACGTATCCACAGAGCAAGTGTTTTTTCTTTTTTTTTTCGAGTCCAGAAGAGCAGCCCCTCTGGAATGTCATTTCATGTGTACACAACTAGGGTTAAACTAAGATAGTAAACTAACAATAAGTTAAAATAGACGGTTACACATAAAAACGACCAAAAAGACAATTAAATCGTTTATTATTATGATGGATCAGGAGGTCTCTCACAAGTGGAAAATGAACTAGAACTGTAAGTTTTGTCAGTTCCCACCTGGATCGGTTCTTATTTTTGATTGTACATTTGAAAAACAGTCTAATGTACCCATGTACTTGGTCATGCTGTCTCTTAGTGGGCACATTTAAACCTATTTTTTAACATTCAGTTTTTATTTTTTTGTTATGAGATTTTGCAGAAATACATTTGTTGCCTAGAAGCAACACTGTGACAGTGGAATGGATTTAGCCAGTCACAAACCAGGTCTCACCACCTCAGGGAACACGGCTCTATATCATTTCTTCCCATTGTCGCAAAATGTTGCCTCAAGGCAACATACTCCAAAAGGACGCCTGCACACCTTTTTTTTTTTCGAATTTAATAATCAGATCTGAAAAAATTAATCAAGAATAATTCTATGCAAGAAAAGTGAATTGAATATGTTTTTTAATTGCTCTCATAATGCGTACAGTAGAGGGTTAATATGTAGGAAATGCGGACGTGGTTGGAACATCATGATATTTAAAACGTCACTGCTCTTTTGTGTCCTGTAAAGCTCAGCTGTTGTATCAGGCATATAAATATGTGGCTGTCCATGTGCGCATGTGTGGGTTTCTGACCTCTGTCTGGGCTTTGGAGTCTCCATTCTTAGCTCTCTGCATAAGTTCCTCTGTGTTCAGCCCCTCTGGAATGTCCCCTGGGAGATTAGAGGGAGAACACAGATAGAGTCACTGACACACTGAACATTGTCGCACCACGCTTGTGCTTTTTACGTAGCTGTTAATGACATTTCTTGTCAAACACATCACCTTACCATCACTACTACAACCATAAATGTCAGAACTAATTAGGAAAACTAATAAAACATGGCAAAAACTGATCATCTTAACAATATTTCAACATTCTTAACCTTCACAATTATTACTGACTTTATAAGAATTATTCAGTAGCTACTATGAAACGTAGTTGAAATGTAACTGTTGTAGTTATGAGAGTGAGGCATTAAAATATGAGTTTAAGGGGTTTATGGGGTTTAAGATTAGCCTTAAAGGGGAATTCCACCAATTTATCAGTTTCTCCATAATTCAATCGAGATGTAAACAAAGTCATTCAGGGTTTGATGTGAAGTGATTCACTGTAGAGAAACATACAGACTCTCATTCCTTTACAGTGTTAGTGGTGGGAACCAGGGGTCGCCATGTCTACTTCGCAATTATGGCCATTTTGTTTGCTTTCCAAAATGACCCATGAACCTTCATGAGTTTTTATATTTAATGCTATTGATGGTAAAACAATGGTACACCTGAAAAAAGTTCTCTTTTAATACTATTTTTTCTTGCGATGCATTGCATGTACCTCTCCACCATGAGTTGATTAAAAAACCTTCCACCAAACTACTGCAAACCATTTCATATAGTAGCTTTCTACAGTGTAGAATTGAAATGCTTTTGGATGTCCAATTCCTATCACCACTGCTGTGAACAATTCTAAATTGTTAAGTTTTTTCTAGAACAGAGCATTTCATATCAAGCCATTATGAATGACTTTGTTTACATCTTAACCACTGAAATATGCAGAAATTGTGACAAATCTGTGGAATTCACATTGATTCTAATAGTCCCTTTGCCTTTGTTCTTGAGCCCCATGAAGCTTCAAGCGGATTACGGACAGAACTTCCGACAAAGTGTAAACAGACTATACATTTTAAATAATTTAAATGCTAATAACAGCCTAACATGATGAGAAATGTGGGAATAAAGAAAAATGTAAAATTCATTGTGGAGGGCCGAAATGCTTTCGCGCCGATGTCCGTCATCAACCTGTCAAGAAAAGCAATACAATTACACAGTCAACCAGAGTTAAACCAGAGCTAAAATAATGCTCCTTCTATGGTATCAGAGACATTATAAATGAGGAGACTGGTCACTGCTTGAAATATGAATGAAAAAGCTTGTGATGCTCTACATGGTGTCTGTTTACTGTGAAAGTCCCACCCTTCAAGAAAAAGAGTCAGTCAGCTTGCTGGTTACGCCATGACTGGGGAAAGCCCCTCCCCTTTTATGGAGATCTGTGCAAGCGCAGCAGCCAAATCAACACGAAAAAAAGACGTTTTTGTGTGTTACTGGGTCAAACGTTACAAACTACTTATGAGGTTTTTTCAGATTTTATCAGTGATTTCAAATATGCTTCTGAAAAGCTCATCTGACTTTCAGTTTCAAATATTTAGGTCTCTCCCTATTCAAAGAGACAGGAGCGGGTTAACAGACTTTGATAGTATTTGGATGGATGGATGGATGGATGGATGGATGGATGGATGGAACTTTATTGATCCCAGGGAAATTGCAGCGTTTCAGTAGCAACATATAATTGCACATAAACTTTCATATACTATGCAGAAAAATAGAACTAAATCTAGACATAAGTTAAAGTACAAGAGAAATAAAATAAAAGTATATTTATTTACATATTTACATGGTATATGGAACAGATTTGCTGTATTTACATGACAGCAGGCACTGAGTGGTATGAGGTTAACTAAAAGCACATATTATAGACATAACTGACTCGGCGTTGCATCAATATTACAGTGTAAAGTGCATAGTGAAAGTGTCACTACAGTAATAGTTATGATATATTTCACAGTGTGTATTAATCGGAGAGGAGATGCAGTGATGCGCCAAGCTAGCAGGGTTAGCTCAGCATTATGCTGGATTTTGAGGTCAGCTTCTGTCAGCTTAAGTCCTTTAGTGAGGGCCTGAACTCATCGTTTATTATTGGAGCGTCAGCCTGTTAGCGGTTAGCTTTCTGCTAACCTGGTCTAGTGACAGCAGAATATACATGTAATATAATGTATAAAGCACTTACACAGAGTCTGTTAGCAGCTACCTTTGATGTTCGGCTCGCACTCACTCAGCTGTAGTGACAGCCATGAATTGCACCTTATCCCAGAATGCCTCAGAGACATTAAACGGGACAGAACGATAACAAGTAAGCACACTTTCCTTGACTAAAACAGTGATGAACGGTACTTCCACTGCCCATCAGCCATAATCTCAAAATACAGCGGTCATGTAAAAAGACGGTAGATAGAGGTATCAGCTAAGTCTATACAGTGACTCATCATGCTGGAACCATAGATATACATACCAGGATGCCGCGTTGGGTCCAGCCAGGCAGGTCAACGGCGCCGCCATTTTGGGGCGGTCAACATCACTGCTGGACTGCATTCGGCACCATTACAGAGCGGCAGTTTAAGAAAGATACTGTCCAAAATTACACTATTTCAGGAATATCACACTCAGAAAGTGGGATAGGATTATATAACGGAGGTGATCCACACTCATGTCTGTGAGATGTGTATTGTTTGTGTGATGTTTGTGTGTAGATATGGCTGTGTGGTTAATGAGGCACAGAGAACCTGTTGATGTGATTGTTTTTCCTCTGGTTTTATATTAAGCTTATTTCATTTAATAGTCTATTCAGGAGATATTAACTTTATGTGGTATTTATTTTTTTCCCGTTCCACTTTAAATGGTGCAGCTTTGGGCACCAGAAAGTGACTGCTGCACCATTTAAGGTGGAAAGGGAAAACATTTCACATCCACATTGATGGATTTGCTGATTATGTTTTACCAAAGTGCTAAACTCACTTTAGGTGCAGACTGAATACCTTCCTGCTGGTCCGGACGGCTAATTATCACGATCAGTTATTAAAGTAATAAAAGCTACCGAGAGCAGTCAGTGCAGTCTAGATTAATCTGTGTCTGAGAATTATAACAAAACAAATTTGGTGAAAATCAGTTGAGTAGTAAGGAAGTTGTGGCTGATTTAATCCTGAGACTCATCGTCTCTCAATACAAGTGAATTTGTTCACAAGCAGACCTTGACCTCTCCAACATGGCGGACGCGCAAACGTATGGTCTCAGATAGAGAACAACAGACAATGCAGCATCTAGGAATGTATATCTATGGCTGGAACACCTCTCTCTCTGTGTGTGTATTTATGTGTGTGTGTGAGAGAGAGAGAGAGCGAGAGAGAGCGAGCGAGAGAGAGAGAGAGAGAGAGAGAGAGAGAGAGAGCCACATCGGGGTCACATTCCTGATTTAAATGCCCCCTTTGCATATGCACTTGCTTGCATGACCACACTTGCAGTGATTGGTCAAAGCAGTTTGCTGACGGAATTCATGTAAACTTTCCTTTAAGGACAAAGCCTTTCATTCAAATTACACCATCTTACTTTTGAACCAGGTCTGCTGTCCTGAGGGCTGAAAGATTAATCGTTTTTATATCGAAATCGCAATTTGAAAGCGGGCAAATTTAAAATCATAAGAGCCGCAATTTTTAGTATAGTTTTATAGTCTATTATCAACAACACTCTTAAAAAAAGATGGTTCTTTAAAGAAAATAATTCCATGAACAGTCAAGGAACCCTTTGCCTGATTAAATGGTTTGTTGCATTGTGAAAAGTTCTTTAAACGATGAAGAATGTGCTGTATATGGTTCTATATAGAACCTTTTCTTCTATTATTATGATGCCAAACTTGGAACAATATAAAACCCCTTTTTAGTGCTATATAGAACCATCTACAACACATTCTCTATCAATCTGAAGAACCGTTTCACAATGCAAAGAAGCATTTAATCATGCAAAGTGTTCTCTGATTACTCATGGTTCTATATGGAACCATTTTCCTCACTGAAGAACCCTTAAAGAACCATCTTGTTAAAGCGTGAATGTTGATATGTTGCGAGGTTTAGGTAGGGAAATTTAACATAGTCACATGGAGCTTGTCAACGGCTTTCAGATGAATCAGAAGCAACCAAACATCAGTGTGCTGTGACATCACAACCACAAATGACTGGCAGGCTGGTGCTCTGTGTTAGGCTTTCAAGCCTCAAGCCAAAAACAAAAAAAAGGATATGCTGGTCAATAGTGGTCAGAAAAATCGCAATTAGATATTTTGTCAAAATCGTTCATCCCTATCTTGAGGTGCACTTTCCAGACACTTAAAAGATTTACACTGACATTTATAGAAGCAGCACAGCTGAGAGCATCTGTCAGCTCGAAGGTCAGTGTGATCTGCACTGGTGTCTGCATGGCAGGTGCATCTATACCTGCACGAGACAAAGCTGCCTGTGGAGGAGGTCCAGCAGACGGCGGGTTTTCGGTCACCATAGTAACATCCCTGGCTGCGTTAAGCTGAGAGCGACCTCTCTGCAGGGCAGGACGTGGGGGCGGAGACACTCGAGTGGACGAATCAGGGGTTGAGGAGGTGGATACTGAAGGAGGGGTGTGTGCAGACACAAGAGAGGCTAGAGAGGGGGAAGCAGGGGGTGGGGGTCCCACAGCTGGATCCATCTGTAATAGAGGGGGAAAAAAAAATAAAAATATATATATATAATATAATATATATATATATATATATATATATATATATATATATATATATATATATATATATATATACACACACACACACATACACACACACACAGAGTACACAAAACACAGTAGTGCTGTTTCCTCATCACTGAAAACTACTACATACAGTACTGTGCTAAAGTCAGAGACCACTCTTCATTTAATCAATTCCCAGAGTCATTACTGATTCATATTTTCAACTTCAGGAAAAAAAGTAAAAGACATGTAACAGAAAATTACACAGAAGCCAACTAATTATAATGTTTTTCAGTGTCTCCACCCTTTGCCTTTACTACAGCTTCCATTATTTTGGGAGATTTTGCTTTCAGTTTTTCTGCTTCTCATAATTCCAGTAAGCTCATTTGCTTGATTTGCAAAATAAAAAAAATATATAAAATCGCTGTTATTGGAAGAAAAACCTTGTATCTCCAAAATGGTTACAGGAGAAGGAAAAACCTACTTTACTTTTAATGTCAATGGAACCAGACTTTTTTCCAAGTCATTTTGGGTCATTTCTTTGGGTCAAGTTCTTCAAAATATCTCCAACTTCTCCTTTACATATTCATTTTGCAGTCCACCAGGCTAAAACAACATTTTCATAGCCCAGTTCAGCTACTTTAAGAACAGTGCTGTACATTGCTGTTTTTCCAAAATTTGAAAAAACAGATCCTATAAAACATACAATTTTTATGCAGTTGCATGAGACTAATAATTGAATTCCTGCCCTTTTGCATTAGTGCATTTGAATAACACTGTTACGTGGTTGTTATTACTTTTAAAGACTGTATCTGCAATTCAGAGAAAACTATGAGTGATCATCTTTTAGGTTGAAAAAGCAGCAAACAACAACACAAATTTCAGAAATCCTTCAGGCCCTTTAGACAACACCAGAGTTTTCTGACTTTTTACAGGTTTGTTAGTGCTCAGTTTTGATCAATATGATACTGTATCTAATAGAGAACTCAGACTCTGGGCTAGGGCTGAAATATGAATGTTTTTAATTAAAATTCACAGTTTAAGAGTGCAATTTTTATTACAGCCCTTATTAATTACTGTCTTACATCTTAAGTGGGCTAAAATAGAGCTCCAGAGCGGCACAACTATCTAAGCGTTGGCCTTTTCATCAGGCGATGCCCCAGCCATCTGTGGTCAGGAGTCCAAGACAGATTAACACAGCAAAATCCACCTAGCACGATGCAAAACAACACAGGTTAGCTGAACATCACTGGCAGTTAGCGTTCTCCTCCAAGCGCGCTGAGCTGCCCAATGTTTCACGTGTCTCGGAGGGAGTATGTGCTCGTCTTCACTATCCCAGCTTGGTAGCATCGTGTGATTGGGGCAGAACATAGTTACCAAGTGGAATTATCAATAATCAAATTGTGGAGATAACTGGGTAAAAAAATAATAAAATTGAAAAATAACCTAATAAACACAACTTTAACTAAACAGCAGTAACTGTAAATGTTCAAGCCTCAAGCCAAAAAAGGTGAATATGCTGGTCTTCTTGCCCAAAATAACAGACCTGAAAATTAATTTATAGAAAATAATAGCAATTAAAATTGCAGTTACAATATTGTTCAGAAAAATAACAATTAGATATTTGCCCAAAGCCCTTAACTCTACTCTGGCCTCTCTGTAGGTCATATTTTTTTAACATGACATGTGTTACCTAAGGACTGCGCAGTGACCAGGTTACCCTGGTTACTACACAACTGTAATATGATTGCGTTTGCACATTGGTAATAAAAACTTATAAATAACTAACAAATTGTACATAACTGTATACAATAAATAGCAAGCTAAACTATTTCAGTATGCTAATGACACTGAGTCATGTTACTGCTGTGTCATGTAACCCTCATGTGATTTTAACTTTCAGTTCCTCGGCTTCTTCTGAACTGGAGCCACTTCGATGTTACACATAAATCTGCCACATTACTGACAGCTAGAAGACTAACTACATACATCTCACTTCCATGCACTCAAGGAATGTTTGATAGATTTGTACTTTCCTGACCATTCTGAAATGGCCACACATTTACTTCTACTACTAAGCGTGTTTTTGTGTTTAACTGCATTATATAGTGGGGACATCATCCGTACTAGGGCTGAACGATTTGGGGAAAATGTCCGTTCTGATCATGTTCGTCGTGTCATAGTGAAAGTTTATAACGGTGGGAGCAGAAACTGGTCTGCAGAGGAGACGAAGTTTATGCTCTGATCTTTAAAAGACGGCGGTGGGACGGACGTCCAGCTTATGTGTCTCAGAACACGACGTCTTCCTCTCGGCCTTCTTTAATAAGGACATGTGAAGCACGTTTTCCTGAGTCTGACATCATTTTAAAGCGATTAAAAACACAAGCACTGCTCACTGCTGCTCATCTCACTGTGACTGGACCTCACGTGATGTTTGCTGTCATGGTAACGTTTACTCTAAGTGGTACTCCGCGCATGCGTCATTTTGGATCTGATTACTTGTAGTGAGCATGTAAACGGAGATTTTCCATCAGATTGTTGAACAGAGTGAGAAAACACCTCAGTCTTAATCTATAATCAGAATATATTCAATCAGCTTGGCAAAAATCTTCGCATGTAAACATAATGACTCTTAATACATTCTGCTACTGCTATTCTAAGTTACTCAGTAGTTTTTTGACCTGCTATGCTTGGACTTCCACACAAGTTGTTTTTCAGATCCTTTTACTTTTACTGGAGTCTTCATGTGACTGAAATAACACTAGTTTCACTTGATTATGGGGTTAGGCTGCACTACCCACCTCTGGCAACAGAGGAAAACACTTGTTTCTTTGGTAAAGCGCTTCAAAGGTCCCACAGTACACACTTAAAGATGATTCTTCAAGGGTTCTTCAGCAAAGGCAGTAGTTCTATTTAGAACCATGAGTTCTACATAGAACCGTTTCATGCTTAAATGGTTCTCTGCATAGTTTTTCAGATTGCTGGAGAATGTGTTGTATATGGTTCTATATAGAAAATCTTTGAAAATGGTTCTATACAGCACCAAAAAGGGTTCTTCTATTATAACAATGTCAAGCTTGTAACAATAGAACAACTCTTTTTGATGCTATAATAGAGCCATTTTCAAAAAGGTTCTACACAGAAGGTTCTACAGAAACGTCTACTCTTCTCTCTCTCCATAGGCGTCACTGGTGTTACTGATCGTCACTGGTGTTACACATAATAAAGGAACACCAGAGACATTTTTAATGAAAAATGCATTTTGCAAATACATTTCACAATTAATAAAGTAGGTCACACAAGTGACGTCAACTAAAAGCTTCAACTGAAATCATGAGCTAAATGAGAAAATGTCTGATGACTGAAAGACACAGTGGACTCACCATGTGCTTTTCTTCATAGATCTTCAGAAAACAGGTAAAAGGAAGTCAAGCAATGCTATCAGTGTGATTTTTATTTCAAAATAAGAGAATTTTTGTCACACAGTAACACCAGTGACACGACTCCTGGAGAACACAACTTTCATTATATATTTTATAATATTTATTTGGCATTTGTTTTCTTTATGTCATTTAAATCATATATTTCATAGTCACGTTTAGAATACTGCAGTTGAAATAGCAGAAAAATACCTCAAAATATGGCCTCAGCCTTCACACACTGTGGGGACGAGCTCTTCTGTGGTGCTTGGAATTCTATATGATTGATTTAAAAACCAATATTGCAAAATTGAGGCTCAAGAAGGTGTAACTGTTAAAATAACATTGTTTTATTTTAAAATATAAATAAATTGTAACCCTTACATGTTTTTCAAGTGTAATATATCTGTAAACGCTAGGGAGACAAAAATGGACGTTTCCACAGAATGACTCAGAACCATAGACAGCACATTCTACATCAATGTGAAGAACCATTTCACCATGCAGAGAGAATTTTAAGCATAAAATGTTTAACCATTCCCTTCACTAAGGAATCATCTTTTGAAGTGTGTCCTGCTCACCAAACACAACAATGACAGTCAAGGCCGTGCAGTGACAGTAGTAGTATGTGTGGTAAAGCACCTGGCACTGTGTCAGCTCATAACTACGTGTTGTCCTCTCAACCTTGTGGCAGATCTAGTGGTCAGTTTCAGATACCACAGAACCCCCCAGCGACCACGTGATGCACCTTGTCAACAGCACTTCACTGCCAGGCTGGCAGGAGCAAAACATAGCGACCTCAGTTGTCCTCTTTCCTGTTTTAACTATCTTTCAACAAAAAAAAACTGTAAAAGCTGACCACTTAGTAAAGGTGGGCAGCTGTGAGAGCACAACTGGAATAAAACAGCAGTCCAACACAGCGCTGTCCTCAGAAGAAAACCTCGCATCTCCAAAATGGTAACTTTACAGGAGAAGGAAAAAACCTACTTTACTTTTAATGTAAGTCAATGGAACCAGACGTCTCTCCAAGTCATTTTGGGCCAGTTTTTCTGGCCCATTCTTAATGAAATTTACATACAATGTAAAGAGCAACAGGTATTTTCGAATTATGTCAAAAACTGAAAAACAACAAAAATGAAGATACGAGGTTTTCGTCCGGCAGCAGCGACACTGACAGTGACAGTGGGATCATACCCACACAGCGTGGCTCGGTCATTTAGCGCTTATAAGCTTTAATAAACAGAGCTAACGAAGCTACACAGAGCCAGGACCACTCACCCGGCTCTCCTCTGACCAAACACACGGAGAAATCACTCTCAAATTCAGCTCACTCCGCCAGCGGGGTCACCCAGGTGGTCATCCTCCACCTGCCTTTGTGTGTGAGTGTGTTTTAAAGCCCCCCACAGCATCGACACAGTCAGAGGCTCCAAAGCTCCAAAGGTGAAGCTACCCGTCCAGCTGTTCCTCTCTCAATAAACCCCGCCCACCGCGGCAGGGCGTTGTGCTATTGGATAACAACGCTGACGTACCGTGTCCGACCTCCTGACGCTTTTGGCGCTCACTGAATGCCAAAATAAAAGTCCTTAAATATACAGTAGTATGAAAAAATGGTGCGCCCCCGGTCAAATTGTATTTTTAAAATTAAAATAATATACAGGACACATTTCTGTACATTATAACACATAATTGCAGTTTATTTAACATACTGGAAATAAGCATAAAATGTGGCCTGTGCAAAAATACGTTTTGAGTATCATTTCACATTTGGTTAACATACATTTTTGCTTCATTAAAGTATGATTTAACTGAAACCTATATATATATATATAATGCAGTGGCAGACAATATATTTTCTAGTAAACCATTTTAAAAAATCTGTTTTGGCAATATTTTAGAGAAACATTTGATAAGTAATGAGCATGTTTTTTGTTCAATTTTTTCTTTTTTTGTGCGTTTTACTCTTGATATCCAGGTGACAGTTAACAACAATGCGTATCATTTATTAACTGTGCTCTCTGTTTGGTTAGTGTTTACAATACTGTGTATAAGTGGTGTAACTTTTAGTGAAGCAGAACAAAACAGCCCATTGAAGACAAGATCTTGTGTGTCAGGCATTCTTTTAAGCATAAAATATGAGCTCATTACATTTATTAATGCATATTCAAATGTCGTCTGATACCGTTATTTAGAAAATATCATGCATTTTGTCAACATTGCCCACTATCAGTAATGTGACTTGCGAAATGATGCCTAACATGAGGTCACATACCGTATGTAACATGAATATGATGTTTGAGGAAATAATAGCACTGAATATTGCTTTGTCTTTTAAACTCATTAACCCCAGTTTTTAGACATGCACTACACTACCTGTCTTATCTGTGTGACTACGGTGATAAAGAGACTATATTTGGGTACAAAATGTCTTTTGGCTTATTTAAGACAATGTTTTTTACATATACATGACCAATAATGTTGTATTGGTTACGTGTGTCTGATAGAGTCTATCTAGCCTCTCACAGTAAATGCTATTGTTTGATGTACAGAGTGGTATTACTACATTACAGTTACAGGCAGTGCGTCTTCTGCTGGTGCAGTCAGAGATAATAATAATAATAATAATCATAATAATAATAATAATAATAATAATAATAATCATTTTATTTATATAGCACATTTCATGCCGGTGGCAGCTCAAAGTGCTTTACAGACAGGTGATAAAACATAGTTATACAAGAAATCATTTGTATTTATACTATGTATTTGGTATTTGTTTGAATTTAATTTCCACGTTCATCTCGCACAGCTCGGATTTATATGAAAGGCAGCTCATGAACGGGTCTGAATGAATTGTTTGGTTGCCAGTTTTACCACCAGGGGGCGCTGCAATCACTGAAATGAAAGAGAAGAGCTGGTAACTGCACACAAATAATGAATCAAGCAGTAACTCTTTTCCCAAATCAGCAAAATCAAACCTTCACAGTTCTACAGAAACACTAGAAGTCTATTAAATCGCTATTGTTGTGTGAAGAGGCTTATTGAGGCCCTTTATGAATGAATGACCAATAGTATTCACAGTTAAGTTAAAATTGCTTCAGGTGATTTTAAAACTATTTTTATGTTGTTATTTAAATGATTTAGTACTTAAATGATTTAAACGATTTAGACAAACCTTTGACTAAATTACATTAGGCATGTTGCCCTAAGACAGGGGTTCCCAAAAACCAGTCGTGGGAACCTATGCTCTGCTCATTTTTGTGTTTTCACTAGAGAACATACAGAGAGGAGAATTGCCGCTCTGTAATGTCTTCCGGGTTTCTCAAACGCTAGAGGGCGCTCCCGAGCGAGTCCAATATGAATGGGTTAAGAAGGAGCATTTGAGCAAAATCATAGTTTATAAATGCTTAAACGTTTTTAATGTAAATGAATACAATCATTTCCTGAACACAGAACAGCATAAAACATTTTAACACTGCTGTTATATTTTTAAGAGCTTTTGAACTCAAGTTAGGAGTTTAAAATTGGCGCCTCATGTACGTTCATATTGTCTGTGAGCGTGAACAGCCAATGAGCTGCTCTGCTCGCCAACCAATCAGCACTCAGTAGCAGTAATGTTACCGTCCTGCTGCCCGAAACCCGTTTGCTGTAGAAAAAAGGAAACATACAGGTAAGATTTCTTTCTTTTTTAGTGAAATCCATCCTTCTACTTTCTAGAATTAAAGGAAAGTTCTGGGCGAGTGATTAGAAACTATTTTAACTTTTCGTTGTTAGCTGTTTAGCTCCATTCACCCCATTCATTGAGGACTTGCTCGTGGGCGCCCTCTGATGTTTTGCAGTGCTGTTTTTGATATAATGAGGGAAATAGGAAGAGGCCAGGCTCCTCATAAACTGTCTCTGTTTCCCCTACTCTACACACCTGAACCAGCCCACATGGATGTTGTTTATTAGTTAAGAGTTGAATCAGGTGTGTTAGATGAGACCTAGCATAAAAACATGTATAATGTAGGGTCTCCAGGACTGGAATTGGAGGGATAACCCTCCTGTTATCTTCAAACTTATACTTGTGGTCACTCACCAGTAAGAGTTTACATGCACTGAGAAATCTGACTACCGAGCTAAAATCCAGCTCTCTTTGTCGGATCCGATTATGATCGGTTTATTGAGTGCATATGAACACACTCATTCTTATTGTTGGGTTGAGAGTGGTCTTCCACCCAAAAATTTTCAGCCATGAGCAGCTCTGTAGTCAGAAACTGACCACTGATGAAATGCTAGAGGACGGCTAACACAAACTGTGCATCAGCAGATGAGCTACAGTCTCTAACTGTAGCTACAAAACAGGGCTTTCTAACAAAATGGCTGGTAAACAGAGTTGGGCAGAATACTTGGAAAAAGTAGTCATGACTAAATACTAGATACACTTCTGAAATTATGCAGTAATGTATTCAGAAAACATTTAGTACATATCTAAAAAGTACATGGTTAAAAACCACAGTTGTCATTTTTTAATTTAATCTAATTTAATGTTTGTCGCTGTAACTGAGCTCAGTAACACTGAGATTAATAACTGATCACATTGATTTATCAGTCTACTCAGGCTTTAGCAGAGCTCAGTTACACTGAGATTAATAACTGATCACATTGATTTATCAGTCTACTCAGGCTTTAGCAGAGCTCAGTAACACTGTGATTAATAACTGATCACATTGATTTATCAGTCTACTCAGGCTTTAGCAGAGCTCAGTAACACTGAGATTAATAACTGATCACATTGATTAATCAGTCTACTCAGTAACACTGAGACTAACAACTGGCTCACAACATTTATTTATCAGTCTATGCCGGCTTTAACACAAGGACGAATGAAGGTTTTTTAGTTTGAGTGCTGAAATTTTAAGTAGCATATACATGATGTGAATGATGATGTCATAGAATTTTTTTGCCTTTTTTCCAGTTGAATCAACTATAAACACACACACACACACACACACATATATATAAACTGACACAACAGACTGCCAATGGACAAAATTCATGCAGATGAACTGAGCGGCGACAAATCAGATTGTTGATATGTGACATGGTTACTGATTGTGTCACGCCCACTGTTACATGCTGGGATTCAAAACTTGGAAAGCAGACTGAGCGGGAGATTCTGGTGCAAACTTCATTACATTAGATGATTTTTTTAATAAATGAAAAACACTATTAGGCTGCTTTGGGGGACAGAAATGGCCTCTATCTCTACACACACTTTCCCTTTTTGAACCTCAAAATGCATGTTTTAGTGTTTTAACTGTTTTTGAGGGAAGCAATTCAGCTGTAATTGTTGACCTAAACAGTGCAGCTAGTGCAGATTTTGGAAATATATGAATAAAAATAAAAAAATGCAGTCCAAAACAGGCACACATGGATCTTTGCTATGTGCAAATTATTAAAAGGTTCAGATATCTGTCTTATTAGTGTTGTTTGGACTCCTTTTTATTTTTTTATTTTCTTTTTATTCTTTTGATAACTCTTCCATAAACTGTTTTCCTTTCATAAACCGCTTTTTCTGTAAAGCTGCATTGAGACAACACTAGTTGTAAAAAGTGCTACACAAACGAATGTTGTTGTTGTCGTTGTTGTTGTTATAATCCTGAAATCTGCACTTCCTGCGTCCCTGTTTGTAAAAAAGCTGTTTTTTCAGTTCTTCTTCTTGTACGTCTTTCCATGCCATGGGCTGATTTTAAAATAGTTAACAAACAAGCATTGATGGTGTTTCTTTAAACAATGGTATACATTTTTATGTGTAATGGTAAGTATTCTAAAAGCATTCTTCTAAAAATACAAAAAAGTAACTGTATTCTAAATACCGTCTTTACCAAATGTAACTAAATGCAGCTACTTCATTTCTGTATTCTGAGTACATATTTCAAATGCATGCATTTCAACCCTGGAAATGTATTACAAATGTCCACCATTTGTCTCAAGCTGACAGCGAGCTTAACTGTGCCCCAAGACATATTAGGTTAAATCAGAATGTGTACCCACATGCGCCCACACAGATACATGCATGAACACTCATACGCATCTCCTCCTCCTGTTGTTATATGAATGGTCAGTGAAAGATGTGTGCTGTAACCATGGTGATAAGGCCTGCAGCTTTACAGAGAAACAAAGCTAGGGTGGTCCCAACCTACTGACAGACACAACGTTATGTTACTACCTTTAATCTGGATGGGGGGACTGTAATTGAAGTGATTACAGACAAGATCTGTGCTTTTAATCTGGTACAAATCTGCAGAGTTTCAGAGTGAACGATTTGTATTTCACTGAATCTGGAGCTCCCTTAACAGCATGAATTGACCTGCCCTGTGTCTCAAATCAAGTGCTTATTTAGTGTAGTAGTCACTTTAAATGAAACAGAACTTATGTATTGTTAATATCTAGATGATGTTCTAGAAATGAGGAAGAATGATGTGTGAAATATAGACC